AGGTGAGGTAAGAGTGACAGCCCTTGACATCAAGGCTGCATTCAACCAAGTGTGGCATCAAGGAGCCCTAGCAAAACTGGAATCAATGGGTATTGGGGGGCAAAATCTCTGCTGGTTGGCATCATACCTGGCACATTGAAAGATGATCATGGTTGTGGGAGGTCGGTCATTTCAACTCCAGGACATCTCTGCAGGAGTTCCTCAGGGTAGTGTCCTGGATCCAACCATCTTCAGCTGCTTCATCAATGACCTTCCCTCCATCATAAGGGTCAGAAGTGGAGATATTTGCTAATGATTGCATGATGTTCAGCACCATTCGTGACTCCTCAAATACTGAAGCAGTCTGTGTTCAAACGCAACGAGATCTGGACAATATCGAGCACTGCTGATCCAGTGAATAACTCCCCTCCTGATTCCCCAAAACCTGTCTGCTATCTACAAGGTACAAGTCAGGAGTGTGATGGAATACTCTCCATTTGCCTGGATGAGTGCAGCTCCAGCAACACTCGAGAAGCTTGACACCGTCCAGGACAAAGAAACCTGTTTGATTGGCACTACATCCACAAGCATCTGTTCCCTCCATCACGGAGGGTCAGTAGCAGCAGTGTGTACTTTCTACAAGATGCACTGCAGAAATTCACCCAAGATCATCAAACAGCACCTTCCAAACCCACGACTACTTCCATCTGGAAGCACTAGGGGGAAGATATCTGGGAACACCAATACCTGCAGATCTCCCTCCAAGTCAGTGACCATCTGACTTGGGAATATATCATCATTCCCTTACTGTTGCTGGGTCAAAATCCTGGAATTCCCTCCCTAAGGGCATTGTGGGTAAACCCACAGCAAGTGGACTACAGCGGTTCAAGGTGGAATCTCAACGCCACCTTCTCAAGGGCAACTAGGGACAGGCAATAAATGAATTGCCTGTCAGCCAGAGAATGAATTTTAGAAAAAGGTACTTTGGTTGCAAAAAACTCTGAGAGACAGAGTTCTCTCAAACGAAGGTAGTCAAGTCTCAGGATCACAACAGACTCATACAACTATATACAACTAACAGCCTCAAACAACAACCCAAGCTTCAAGGCAATGGCAGATAATGTACAGTCCCAGGTCTTACACGAGACTTGGGGAATAATTATTCAAACACATTTGGTTATAGATTTATACAGCACTAAAAATAAACCATTTATTCTGTATGTGTGATGGGATAGATCCTGGTTTACATGTAAATTCGAAAAGTGATCTTGTGCTTGAGAAGGTCGGAGAGCACTGTTACAGTCAATGTTTGGAGTGAGACTTGAAGCCACAATGTTGTGTCTCAGAGGTCAACCCTACACCAAACGTGTGATAGCTGCCACTCAGTCTAGAAAGTCTCGTGTGAAATACAACTTAGAATGAATGGTGAGACATGAATCAATAAATGCCGGAATGTTATTTGTCCCAGCTCCACAGCTTGTAGTAAATAAATCGATTTGCATTATTGATATAGAAGGATCTCATCACGGTAATAGGGGACAAATCATTTCAGCACCAGATCCCCAAAGTCTCAAATAGGATTATGAACATGTTCGTAGATTTACTATAGGACATCATGGCTTGGCTGAGGTTATGATTTACCTGCTTGGGTTAAAGTATTCAGGAGAGACTGAGCTACTTGCAGGAGAGCTGGTGGGAACTGGTGGTATTATCGATGGGAAAGCCCTCAGCAACTTGTTCCCCTCAAACACTTGGGGAACCAACAACAGGCCTCTCCCAGGGATCAATGCCATGGGGAGGAAATGCAGCACGAAGGGCTGGGGTGGTAGTCTTCAGCAGCACCCAGCCCCCAATCTCTCCAATCCTTTTATTGAGGGACTTAACCCCACTGCCCCCCCACCAAGCTCTGGGATCCCACAAGCAACAAGGTTTAATTGTCATAGCTCCCACATGCCTAGTTCCCCATCCACTGGTTACGTAATTACCCCCAAAAAGTATTAATTGGGGCAAGTAAGCTATCCACATGCCCTCTCACCACATGGGAGGTGATGGGGTCTAATTAAAAGCCCATAACCAACAAACTCATCTCGTGATCCTGCCTGTAATGCAGATGGGATTTTGGTGGGGAAAGATCTGAGAATATGCAGCTCAGGAACTGGCAAATGATGCCAATTCACATGGTTCTTCCTGATGAATGTATATTTGATACTGGAGCTGTTAATTAGGTCACTGAACAGCTTCAAACACTCCTGTGAAGTATAAAATCTATCTCCCTAATTGTTTCACATGCTTCCCTAAATAAAAAGCAGAAACCTTCAGATTTTTTGCTTACTCAGTATTTTTTTGGACAGAACAGGAACAATGAACAATCTTACACAAACCCATTCGGATCCACGTTGCTTCTACATTTGTGCTGAAGTATAGGTCATTAAGAAGACTCAATACATACATTCACCAGGGGCGTTCTACACTCAAACAGTCCCACAGGATCTTTTAAATCCACCCAAGAGGGCAGATGTTGCCTTTGTTTAACATCTCATCCTAAAGGTGGCACCTTTGGGAAAGGACATGTACCCACAATCGCCCGGCTTTGAGGTGAGTGCACTTCTATTGAGCTGCAGCTGGCACAGTTGGCTGAAGCACACTGATGGCTTATTGGTGTGTATCTTATTTTCTGGCTCTCTCCCTGCTTCTGTCCTGCCTCTTCCTCCCTTTGCTTTGTACGTTTCATTATGTTACTAATAATGTAACATCATCATTACTGTAGCATTGCTAAAACTCACAATTTCATTCGGAAGTCATTGATTTTTTTCAGTGTTGCTCAAAAGCATGAGAACAGCAAGATGAATAATCTCTCTTTTCCACCCCAGTGAATCATGGGCGGTTGTGCAATAAAATAAAATCAACAAATGGCTCATGAAATTAGAAGCGTTGTTGATTCTATTAATGTCATCTCTACACATACACTCTCCTAATGAATGTAAGGATGATTATTTCAAGTCTGCGTTGGTGAAAATTGCAATTCAAGTCATTGAGAATTCTCTCAGATATAGGAGCAGCTGTCCTGGAATCTTTGATTGAGTAAGAGTGAATTGTTACTTAGAGGAGCAAATGCTTCTAAGAGAGGAGGGAGAAGATTTGGAAATAAAGGTCAATTCAAAGGCAGAGGTTGCTTTTTCTTAAATAGTATATGTTCTCTTTCTTTGCTCCACCAACAATTTTCTTCCAAACCCTCCGTGGGCAACAGGGACCTCTCTAAATAGCTCATCCAAGAGGTCATCATTTCCATTAAGCAGAAATAGGCCATTTGGAACAATTTCCTACTCAATGTTTAGGTTCCACATATCAACCGATCTTATCTAAATAATTTTCAATCTCTTTCTTCCCCTTGTGTCCATCTTTTCTCCTAACTGCATCTGCGTTATCTATGTCAACTATTCCTTGTGGTAGTGAATTCTACATTGTAACCAGTCCCTGAATAAAAAGAAAGATCGTCTGCCAGCCAATAGCTTCCCCCTCCTGCCCTGGGAGTCAGTCAATGTTCTAGTCCTTGGTATCCATGGGTGCCAGTCAATGAGACCATTGTGCACAAGATCCTCATTTGCGAAGCTGCTCAGATGAGTTTTCTTTCAGCATCATCTGTGGTCAGACACGTGTTTAGCTAAGTTCAAGGCAGTTCTCCTCCAGCAGTCCTTGGCAGCAGCAAGAGCAGACTGATGTATCATCAACTCCCGAGAGACAGGCATCATCACCGCTGCATTTGGGAGATCCTCCCCTTCACTCAGATGGACAATCACACACATACACAAGTGTACTCCAGCAAACAAGTATCCTGAACTTTGAGCTGACCATTCTTACACAGCGGCTGCACTTTCACAGCTCGCTGGACCTGGCATGTGGGACACTGAACTTCTGAAGTGTACTCTCGCTTCCAGAAGACAGCTGGTTCAGGATCACAGCGTAGCTAAAGGGATGCTTTTTGAAGAGGATTAGCTTTGGTCTGAGCAGCTGGAGGGAGAGTGTTCTGGACCAAGCACAAAGCCAAGCATTTCCAAGATGGAGGTGACCCTAAGGCAAAGCTGATAATGATGGCTGAAGACATGAGATTAAGAAGAAAGCTCAAGAAGAGATACAAACCTTCATCAACTACAGACTGACCAACAGATCCATTAAATATTATTTTACCTTCTACCTCCTTAATCTTGCACTGACTCCACCTCTATCTCTTACACCTTCTTCCCTATGGAAAAACTCCATAACAGTGCCCCCTCACTTCAAAGGACATCAAGTTGTACAAGGGTCAGTCTCACTAAACCACCCAGGGTTTGGGTCACTCACGTTCCAGGGATTATCCTTGAATCTTCAGGAAATGAAGATTAATCTCCCAATTGTCACTGCCGTGACAAAACCCAGTTATAAGGCCATGGGGCAATTTGTAGAATAGTGTGATAACAAGGTGTGGAGCTGGATGAACACAGCAGGCCAGGCAGCATCAGAGGAGCAGGAAAGCTGACGTTTCGGGTCTGGACCCTTCTTCAGATATGTAGAATTGTGTGTTGTTCACATTTTAAAGAATTTCGGTTTCAATTTATTGATGATAAAACTGCTTCAGAATGAGGATGTAGAGTTGCTCACAGGGCCGGTGGGTCTGGTTGCAGACGTTTTGGCACTGTGCTAGGTAACATCATCAGTGTGCCTCTGGTGGGTGGCTACCCAATAGGGTGACAAACCGTCTGCAACCAAACCCACTGGCTCAGCGGGCAAGTCTACATCCTCATCCACAACCCGAGCTACAAATCTTCTCAAAAACTTTAAACTGCTTCAGAACGGCGAAAAGGCTGTTGGACTGAGTAGGGTAGTTAGGGGGCCACAGGAATAGGTTGCTGTAGGGTTGGCGACATTTCCCTAGGTGGGGTTGTGGGGGTAGGGGGTGGAGGTGTGTGTGAAATGGGAGGATCTGGGTTACATTCTGGGTGTTAATGTGTACATTCTCTGGCCTGCCATTTCCTACAGGAGATCCGATGTTGTGTGGAATGACCTCCTGTGGGCGGAAGGCCTTAACGCTCCTGAGCAGCGTGTTCGCTGTGTGTGGCCTGGGTCTGCTCGGGGTGGCTGTTAGCACTGATTACTGGTTATACCTGGAAGAAGGGACCATCTCCCCTCAAAACATGTCAGCCGAAGTCAAGGTATCGCTGCACGCCGGCCTCTGGAGAGTTTGTTTTCTGGCAGGTATGAACACGTCCTCATCAGCGATTTTACTGCTCATGAATTCAGAAACTTAGCTAATATTCTGGGGACTTGGTTTCAAATCCCACCACAGCAGATGATAGAATTTGAATTCAATAAAAAAATCTGGAATTAAGTGTCCAATTATGACCATGAATCCATTGTCGATTGTTGGGAAAAACCCATCTGGTTCACTAATGTCCTTTAGGGAAGGAAACTGCCATCCCTTACCTGGTCTGGCCTACATGTGACTCCAGACCCACAGCAATGTGGTTGACTCTCAACTGCCCTCTGGGCAATTAGGGATGGGCAATAAATGCTGCCTAGCCAGAGATGCCCACATACCGTGAATGAATAAAATAAACTAATGCTTGCTCTTCGATGAAGGAAAATTGCAGATCATATGCCCTATGCCAAAGCTTTGATCTATTTTACTCTTTTTTTCCTTTCTGGCTGCTTTCTGCCATTTTCTGTTTTCATTTGATGGTCATTCACAAGAAGGTGGAGAATTTCCTATTGAAACTCAAAACTGCAGCCCTGGACCAATAGGCCGCTGATAGGAATCAGACCTTGGGTCCATTAGTGCATTAGAGTAAACCATCCCTGAACCACATTGTTCCTTGTTCCAAGGTGTATAACATAATGTCTAAAACAAAAGTCCATTCCAAGAATACACCAGGAATGCTCAGCCAATTGGGCAGTGTCTATGGAGAGAAATAGAGTTACTGTTCTAGTTTGATAATGAATTTCATAAAAGGTTTAAGGACCTGAAACTTTAGCTCTGTTTCTCTCTTCACACACAATGCTGGGCCAACTGAATATTTCCAGTGATATTGCAGATTTCCATCATCTGCAGTATTTTGCATGTGTATTTCCACCATAACAGGCTGTGCTTTAATCACAACCATTGTTATTAATGCTGGCCATTTTCAAAGCAATAATTATGAATGAACTGTTAAAGTTTCTCCTTTAGCAAGAAGATGATGTCTTTGGAGCTTTAGAAATTAATTGACCATATTTTTAAATTGTGATATTTCTTGGCTTTATATGTGGGGTCCACATCAAAGATCTGCCAACAACAGGCTAGGTTTGTTTTAAGGTTGAGAGGGGGATTGACAAAATAAGGTATTGTATTGAGCACTGAAGTTCCCATATTTTGTTTTTCAAAGTTTTAAAACTCCTGTATCTTGCAACAACAGTGGAAGAGAAATACATAATGTACATATGCACTTCTTCACAATTGTATAAATCACTTCTACTTATATGATATGCAAAGCCTCACAGGTATATATCTCTATACTCTTGTATATATCATATGTGCTGCCATATAGAGATACAAAACACTCCTGCTATATGTCGTTTCCTTACAGAAATATCACATTGTTATGTGAATTTATAAATATATATTGTGACTGCCATTCAGAAGCCAAACTTTCTGCTTCATTTAACAAACGCCTTAACAGCAGTAACACACTCAGTATGTGTTTTGCAGAGTATCCCACTGTTTGAATACAATACACTTGTTTTCCAGGAGCAATGTCCCTTTGTGTATAATCAGCCACACTTTATGGAGACATTAACCTGCTGGGCTATTAATCATACTTTGCCATACAGACATGATAATTCTGGGGAGGGATGCAGTCTTTCAGGCGCTACCATTTTTACGGATTCCTGATAGCTTCATTTTCTCCCTCCCTGCTGTGGCATGATTTCCTGATGATTGACAATCTTTAACCAGCTCTTGTTTGTATCCACAGGAACAGAGCGTGGGCACTGCTTCACCATTGAGTATGTGATGCCAATGAATGTGCAGCTGACCTCAGAATCCACAGTCAGTGTTTTAAGTCAGTATCCATTCTCCATCTGGTCAGTTGCTTGATGTTTAAATAAATAAGGACGTTACACATGTTCGCTTTGAGACTATGCCTCAGATGCAGACTATTTGGCCCAACTTGTGCTGGTGTTTATCCCCTCCCAAACTTCCTCCCACCTCCGCTTCATCTCATCCACTTCTCTCTCACATGGTCATCTAGCTTATGTCAGGGACCGGGATAATGTTTCCCTTTTCTCCCCATCTCACGGCTGTCCACAATAAGATGTACTTTTTTCAGGGGAATATTTCAAACGCTTCAGAGTTTGAGACTTTCAGTAATAAAGGGTTTCTCAGGTAAGTTTAAACCCGTAGTGAGAATGACAAAGAAAACATTGTCATTGGTAAGAGGTGGAATGGGACCTACATGCTTTACTGGCAACGTGCGGCTAAGGCACTTCACCTGCAGAAGTTAACCTCTCCCTGCCGAGAAAGAGGAAATATAACTGGAGTGCAGAGGCGACAAGGAGAATCAGAAGTGGTACAGGTGGCATGAGATAATTGAAGGAGGTTTACCACAGATTCAGGAGTGAATTCTGCAAAAGGGCTACCCCTAAGCCCAGACACACTGCAATAGCTTTGTCCAGCACTATATCTACTATTAGTGTTCATACACAACAAATAAAGCTCAAATTTGAAAGTTAAAAGCAAGACCTGAATTTAAGATCGTGTTTATTCACGCAATCCCCCGAAATGTAAATGCAATGAATAACACTCACTCCCACATACTTGAGACAAAGGCACATGAGCATTTGCCTTTATAGGTGTGTGAACGTAGTTGTGTATGTGTGCATATGTGTGTCTGTGCACATGAACTCATGCACACAGACACACATGGACATGTGTACATGTGCACAGACACACACATGCATACACACACAGCTATGTTCACACATCTACAAAGGCAAATGCTCATGTGCACAGATCCATACACATGCAGTTTCCCAGACACTATCATTACCAACCCCAGGTACATCCTGGCTCCCTGGTAGCATGGACCCACTGGAGGTGGTGACCCTGTGGTATACAGCTGGAAAGGAGTTGCCCCAGGAATCCTCAACTTGACTCCAAACCCAATGATATCTCATTGCATTCAGTCAAACACAACAAGCTGTTGATGATTATCATGCCCTTCCGTGTTTCGCCTGATGAATTCCTCCATGTTGAATATCACCTGAACACTTAAATTAACCAATGACATGAAGGTATGTAGAAAAGTGAGTTGTGAAGAGGACGTAAGGAGTCTACAAAGGGATATAGGTAGGTTAAGTGAGTGGGCAAAGATCTGGCAAATGGAGTACAATGTGGAAAAGTGTGGAAGTATTCATTTCTGAAAAAAAGAGAAACATTTGTCGAAATGGTGAGAAGTTGCAGAGCTCTGAGATGCAAAGAGATCTGGGTGTCCTAGTGCATGAATCACAAAAGGTTAGTATGCAGCTACAGCAAATAATCAGGAAAGCTTGTAGAATGTACTGTTTTATTGAGAGGGCAACTGAATGCAAGAGTAGGGAGTTATACAGGAACATTGGTGAGACCACGTCTGCAGTACTGTGTGAAATACTGATCACCATACTTACAGAAGGATGTCAAAGCATTGGAAGCAGTTCAGAGAAGGTTTATCAGACTAATACCTAGAATGAGCAGTGCCTTATGTGGAAAGGCTAGACAGGCCAGGCCTGTATCTCTGGAGTTTAGGAGAGTCAGAGGTGATTTAATTGAAACATAAAAGAACCTGAGGGGACTCGGCAGGTTAGATGTCAAAATGGTGTTTCCTCTTGTGGGAGAATCTAGAACTCGGGGTCATATATTAAACATAAGACACTCGTTTAAAACAGAGATAAAGATACATTGTTTTCTGTGAGAGGGTTGTGAGCCTTTGGAATCCCATTCCTCAAAAGGCAGTGGATGCAGAACCTTTAAATATTTTAAGGCAAAGGTAGGTAGATTCTTGCTTATCAGGAGCTATGCAGGAATGTAGAGTTGAGGTTAAAATCAGATCGGCTGTGATCTTATTGAATGGTAGGGCAGGCTCGAAGGGCTGAATGGTCTATTTTTTTCCTTGTTCACTTTAAAGCAGGGACTGCACTTTCTCAGTTATTTTATGCATGTATAAAATGCTTTGGGATGTCCTGAGGCTGTGAAATGTTTTTTTCAAAAATTCAAGAATTTCTTTCCTCCTACTGATTACTGATGCCTCAAACTGTTTATTTTTCTTTCTGCAGAAATGATCCGATCATCAACCCCTTTCCCACTGGTCAGCCTGTTTTTCATGTTCATTGGTTTTGTGTTGAACAACATTGGCCATATTCGACCTCACCGGACAATCTTAGCATTTGTGTCAGGAATCTTCTTCATTCTTTCAGGTAAAGGTCAGGAAAGAAACAAACGCCAAATTTATCAAGTTTTCTTTCGCTTTTAATAAGCTTTCTGTTGTCTGATTTTGTTCAGCCCCACATTTGAGTTTGGAGGTGTTTCTCTGCTCAGGAAGGTGGAAAAGTGACCCTGTCGGAAAATGGCACATGGTGATACTCCCTTGCTCAGCTGTCACATTTTTGCTCAGTGGAAAGTGGCAGAGCATCTGCTAATGCCCCCTGATATTGGCACAGCTGGTAGCCAGAAACACCTAAACTGGCTGCAATTTGTGTCATAGTAACACAAGATGCTTCTGCAGTTTGCCTGGCTCACCCCAACACATGAGAAATACCATGTTACTCCCTCCCTTTAATGCCAAGTACCAACCCCATTGGGATGGTGGCTCAGTGGTTAGCACTGCAGGAGAGACTCAGGTTCGATTCCACCCTTGGGTGACTGTCTGTGTGGAGCTTGCACATTCTCCCCGTGTCTGCGAAGGTTTCCTCCGGGAGCTCTGGTTTCCTCCCACAGTCCAAAGATGTGCAGGTTAGGTGGATTGGCCATGCTAAATTGCCAACAGGGATGTGCAAACTAGGTGGATTGGCAGGGAAATGTAGGGTTACATGGATGGGGTAGGGGTGTGGGTCTGGTTGGGATGCTGTACAGAGGGTCGGTGTGGACTTGATGGGCTGAATGGCCTGGGGACACTGTAGGAGTTCAAAGATTCATTGCCCCTCTGCCCAAAATCTTCAGTGGCACCAACATGCTGCAAGTTCAACAATGTTTTGGCCAGTTCCTTTCACTATTTGTTTCCTCGTTGTGTATTTTTATATACCAAAGAGAACCACCAGATGCTGAAATGATCAATAACACGAATCTTCTTCCTAAATGTTTTGTGTGAAAGTAGTGTTTTATGACAAATCACTTTTTTCACAATTGCAGGTTTGTCTCTGGTTGTTGGACTTGTCCTGTACATATCCAGCATCAATGATGAGATGTTAAACAGAACGCCAGACTCCGAGAGCTATTTCCACTACAAGTATGGTTGGTCTTTTGCCTTTTCTGCCATCTCCTTCTTGCTAACCGAGGTAATTACCAGTTAAACCATATCTGACTCACCATTTATTCCAAGATTATTTCAGGTTTCAGATTAGACCCAGATTCAGACGAGACCAAATAAACCAGAACTACAGTTGAATCCACAAAAATTGTCTTCAAGTTCAACAGCCTGCCATTGGTAGGTGAGGTTAAAATTGAATCAGAGATAGTAGGAACTGCAGATGCTGGAGAATCCGAGACAACAAGGTGCAGGGCTGGATGAACACAGCAGGCCAAGCAGCATCATAGGAGCAGAAAGGCTGATGTTTCGGGCCGAGGCCCTTCATCAGAAAAGGGGGAGGGGAAGGGAGTTCTGAAATAAATAGGGAGAGAGTGGGAGGCAGATAGAAGATGGGTAGAGGAGAGGATAGGTGGAGAAGAAACAAACAGCTCGAAGAGGTGGGGATGGAGCCAGTAAAGGTGTGTAGGTGGGGAGTTAGGGAGGGGATAGGTCAGTCCAGGGAGGACGGACAGGTCAAGGGGGCGGGATGAGGTTAGTCGGTAGGAGATGGGGGTGGGGCTTGAGGTGGGAGGAGGGGATAGGTGGGAGGAAGGACAGGTTAGGGAGGCAGGGACGAGCTGGACTGGTTTTGGTTTGCGGTAGGGGGAGGGGAGATTTTGAAACTTGTGAAATCCACATTGATACCATTGGGCTGCAGGGTTCCCAAGCGAGGAGCTCGAACAGTTCATCAACTTCACCAACACCTTCCACCCCAACCTTAAGTTTACCTGGACCATCTCTAATACCTCTCTCCCCTTCCTGGACCTCTCTGTCTCCATCTCGGGCAACCACCTAGAAACCGATATTCATTTCAAGCCCACCGACTCCCACAGCTACCTAGAATACTCCTCCTCCCACCCACCTTCCTGCAAAAATGCTATCCCCTATTCCCAATTCCTTCGCCTCCGCCGCATCTGCTCCCAGGATGAGGCATTCCACTCCCGTACATCTCAGTTGTCCTCGTTTTTCAAGGACCATAACTTCCCCCCCTCAGTGGTCGAGAACGCCCTCAACCGTGTCTCCCACATCTCCCGCAACTCATCCCTCACACCCCATCCACGCAATAAGAACCAAAAAAGAATCCCCCTCGTCCTCACGTACCACCCCACCAACCTCCGGATCCAACGCATCATCCTCCGACACTTCCGCCATCTGCAATCCGACCCCACCACCAAAGACATCTTTCCCTCCCCACCCTTATCTGCTTTCTGGAGGGACCACTCTCTCCATGACTCCCTTGTCCGCTCCACTCTCGCCTCCAGCTCCACCACACCCAGCACTTTTCCCTGCAACCGCAGGAAGTGCTACACCTGCCCCCATACCTCCTCCCTCATCCCCATCCCAGGCCCCAAGAAGACTTTCCACATCAAGCAGATGTTCACCTGCACATCTGCCAATGTGGTATACTGCATCCGCTGTACCCGGTGTGGCCTCCTCTGCATCGGGGAAACCAAGCGGAGGCTCGGGGACCGCTTTGCAGAACACCTACGCTCGGTTCGCAATGAACAACTGCACCTCCCAGTCACGAACCATTTCAACTCCCCCTCCCATTCCTCAGACGACATGTCCATCCTGGGCCTCCTGCAGTGCCACAATGATGCCACCCGAAGGCTGCAGGAACAGCAACTCACATTCCGCTTGGGAACCCTGCAGCCCAATGGTATCAATGTGGATTTCACAAGCTTCAAAATCTCCCCTCCCCCTACCGCATCCCAAAACCCGTCCAGCTTGTCCCCACCTCCCTAACCTGTTCTTCCTCCCACCTATCCCCTCCTCCCACCTCAAGCCGCACCCCCATCTCCTACCGACTAACCTCATCCCGCCCCCTTGACCTGTCCGTCCTCCCTGGACTGACCTATCCCCTCCCTAACTCCCCACCTACACACCTTTACTGGCTCCATCCCCACCTCTTCAACCTGTTTGTTTCCTCTCCACCTATCCTCTCCTCTATCCATCTTCTATCCGCCTCCCACTCCCTCCCTATTTATTTCAGAACCCCCTTCCCCTCCCCCTTTTCTGATGA